CTCATATGTTGTTGTGAATCAGTGTTGGCATGGAAATGCTGGACTTTTACCAACCAACTAAAAATAAATAAGCAAGGTAAGTACACATGGCATATCCTTGATTGGTCTTCCTCTGGATAAAACTGGAGGTTGCTCTCTACTTATCAAATCGAACATTTATTATGATCAAGGAATAGCATAAGGAGGATGGGGTGAACTCAATTAAAAAGCATAAAAAAATCATCAAAGTTTAAAATTAATAATTATAAAAAGCAAAAATAAAAAATAAAACAAACACACAAACACATACCCAAATTTAAAAGAAATCTAAAAGGAGAGATAGGAGCATTAGACAGATATAGGAGAACATAAAAGTTTACTATGGAGCAGACTAGATCTATAGCAATACAGAGCACTCTAAAATGATAAGCTAGATGTTTGTTAAGATTGGTTTATGGTACAGGTCATTTTGTGATAGATTTTAAATGCTGTTGTACAGAACCTGGCAAAATTATATTTTGTAGCAAGGTTAGAATCTGAGAGTAGCAGCGAGCTACAAAATTGTCATGTGTGTCCAGGGTATTTATGCAGTAAGGTGAGATGAGGCTAGTACAAATGTCTCTGCACTGGAGAGGTGCATGATCTGTTGTCTCTGCATGTCCAGAATCATAGCAGCATTATCTCCAGGTAGGGCAGTGTTTCCCAAACTTGACAATTTTAAGGCATGAGGACTTCAACTCCCAGAATTCCACAGCCAGCAACGCTGGCTGTGGAATTCTGGGTGTTGAAGTCCACATGCCTTAAAATTGTCAAGTTTGGGAAACACTGAGGTAGGGGAATCTTTCTGAATCAGCCCTCCGGTGGTTAGGTACCTCAAGATTATTTCAAAATGCTATAGAAGGGCAGATACTTGTTGCATTCATTGGCAATAAAGGCAAATAAAGGGACCTCGTTAGTTCCAGTTGGTGCTCTGTGTGTGGTGCATACTATTTACAGAGTATTTTGGCTTGGTCATATCCCATACTAAGAAGAAGACCTAAAGAAAGCCCAAAGATGAGAGTCTAATTCCTACTGTCTTTTTCCCTGTGGATCGTAAACCATCCCTCATAGTTAGCTGGGCAAGGAGAGTGCTGCAGGAATATAGAGGTCATCTTTTCTCTTAAGGATGGCCGAGGAACTCCTCTGTGCATTTTCAGCAACAGCAACATAGTCCCCATGAGTTTCCTGCTGTTCGCAGAAGGAAGACTTCCAGATATTTGAAATAGGAGACCTGCTAATCTTGTGGCTATCTGTCCTCCGGGAGTGGTCTTTAGGCCTTTTGGCAAATGTCATGTTTTTGGCCTTCTGATAATTCTCCAGGCTATAATTCTACTTTATTCTAATATTTAAAACTTTTAAACATTTAAAACATACACAGACACACAAGAACAACTTTCAGTCATTTCCAAAATACTAGTTCTGATAATTCTCCAGGCTATAATTCTACTTTATTCTAATATTTAAAACTTTTAAACATTTAAAACATACACAGACACACAAGAACAACTTTCAGTCATTTCCAAAATACTTTGTCGCCTTTCTCAGAAGTTGATCCAATTTCTCTGAAGCCTTCTTGAAGTGTTTTGCCCAAATCTGGGCACTGTACTTAAGGTCTGGCCATAGCAGAACAGAAGGGGACAGTTACCTCCTGTGATATGAAAGTTGTATTTCTGCTGATACACTCTAATATAACATTTCTCTGTAATCATGTCAGATTTCTGGCTCATGCAGAATTTGCAATCAATTGCTATTCCAAGATATTTCTTACAAGTACTATTAAAGCTACGTTTCTGTCATCTTACATCTCTACTCTTAAATTTTGTTTAATAAGAGAAAAACTTCATATTTGTTACATTTTGGTTTGTTCTTCAGCAAAATTTTCAACACAGTTAGGCACCTCTAAATCAAAACAAAACCTATCAAAGTCACTTTGAATCTTATTTCAGTCTAGCTAACCCATCCAACTTTGTATCATCTACAGATCTGATAACATTTCCTTCTACCTTATTATAGAAATCGTACATGAAAATGTTGAGGAATAAAGGACACAGAACTGATCTCTATGGCTGATCCTCAAAACTTTCTGAGATGCGTAGCACTCATTCCCAGTCTGGAACAGTGTGACTTGGACCTTGCAGATTTTACTTAGAAGCAAATACTAAGCAAACTAAAGTTCAATCCACATATGTTCAGTACTAATATACTCAGTACTGATATGTCATGCACAAGCATCCAATGGCACTGTTTCTATTTTGACTCTCAAAACTGGAACAGGAGTGGTGACTCTGGAAAAGATCTGAATTATGTAAACATCTGTGGTCATAAATCACCTTTTAAAATTTAATTTACAGTGAACCACTTTTGGCATGAGTCAAAAATTTAAGAAGTACATCACATGGTTTCTCTGGCATGGAAGTGTTCTTTTTATCAGAACTGGTTTTAAATGCCCATACACTGAAGTATTTTCTCTTGCTTTGTCATAGCTAAGGTGGGCTTTCTTATATGATAACATGTCCCACCAAGCAAGACATTTCAGCCTAGTAGGAGTTAAGAAGAGGGCAATGCTTTGTTGAATGGGGAAAGACATTAAACTGTGCTCCAAAAATCTCTTCTTATTACTGATGAACAATTCCAAACATAGCTGTGTTTAATACCAAATGCAGCAAACTCTCTTTAAAAAGGCAATATAAATCACTGAGTATGTGGGGGTCAAAAAGCAAAGGCATGAAATTCTAAAATTCAGTTAACAGATGATCTTTTCACAGCAAGAAAACATTTGCCCCACACATTGTGTTATTTCAAAGGGCAAAAGTGCTGTGGGATGCTGATGGAACTCAGTATATGTTATCAAGCGAAGGCTAGGAGATATTTGCCACTTAGTTGAGATATGTAATCAGAATATTTCTACTTCCTACCAGCAGACAATTCAACTTTGGTGGTCACTTATTGGCTTATTTTTGTTTTAAAAAATTGATATAGATGCAAATATAGATTCTTCATTTTTTTTTCAAATTTATAACATTTTATTGGATTATAAAATAAAATACAAAAACACAAAAACAAATAGTAGGACCCAGTGGGGAGGGAAAAGGGAAAAAGAAGTGAGGAGGAGAAGGGAAAAAGAAAAGAAAGACTGACTTCCTCTATTGTAGTAAAATAAAGCATTAACATCAAACCTCCACCTTTTACTTTTCCAAAGTAGTATAAACCAGCCCAGTGATGGCAAACCTTTTAGAGACAGAGTGCCCCAAAACTGGCCCCAGCCCCTCTCCACCCCCCTGCCCTGCCCCCACTCTGCCCCCAGCCCCGCCCTGCCTACCCACAGGACCACTCACTGCCTCCAGGGCCCGCCGCAGATCACCCAGGCAGTCCAACAGCGCTGTGGCGGCCACACCCTCTGCCCAGGCCCTGCAGCATCAGCTGCATGATGGGGTATGAGGGCAGAGTCTTGTCTATGCTGCCTGGCTGCCATGTCCTTGGCTGTGCTGCTCCGCGTGCGCCACATTCAGGCAACTCTCCTTCAGGGGGGCTGCTGGAGAGGAGGGGGTCGCAGGGGAGGAGGCAAGGCTGGGGCAACGGCACGGGTGCCCACAGAGAGAGCTCCGAGTGCCGCCTCTGGCACCTGTGCCATAGGTTCGCCACCACTGAACTAGCCATTTCTATAACAACAAATCTATCTAATCAGTAAAACCCCAAACCAAAGTTTCATTTTTTTCCAACTTAAGCACAAAATCCAGAAACGGTCTCCATGTCAAAATGAAAATACTTATGTTATTTTCTTTAATCAAAACTTTCAATTTAGCCATCTCTTCCAACTCCATCAGCTTCTGTAGCCATTCATCCATAGTGGGAATCGAAATGTCCTTCCATTTTTGTGCATACAATAGTCTTTATTTTAAGAATTTGGCATTGCGGCTTAAAGAAATATAATCAACAACCTGTATTTCTTCAATCTGTTATAGCCAAACAATTATCACCAAGATTTAGGATTAGCAGTTAGTAGAGTATGCCCTCAAAATTTTTATAGTACTTTTGATTTATTTTTTATTTGAAAGTGGTGGTGGTGATGACGGGGGAAAACCTTGATGTTAAGCAAAAAGGAATCTAGGAACCAATAAAAGAGTAGATTAAAAGGAGGAGAGTAGAATTACAGTTAAGCCATTAAAGTCAAGGAGCATTACAGGCAGCAGCACCAACTGACATTTGCTGATCTCAAAACAGCTAAGCAGAATTGGACTTGATTAGTACTAGGATGAGAGATCACAAGGAAATAGCAGAGTTTTAGACTACATTGTCAAAAAACGAACTACCCTAGAAGAAAACAGTCACAAATCACCTCTGAACTGTTGCCAAGCAAATTACACTGAAGTACTGTACACTGAAGTACTCTGAACTGTTGCCAAGCAAATTACATTGAAGTACAGAATAATTATCTGGAGTCAAACTGTATTCAAGAGAGATAATACCTCACCCTTAGAGCAGTGGTGTCAAACTGCCGGCCCATGGGCCAGATGTGTTATGCTGAAACCACGCCCACCCCACTGCCGGCAATGGAAAAAAAGTCGCGATATGTCACAACACGTCATGTGACGTTGTGAGTTTGACACCCCTGCCTTAGAGCATTAGCCCTTCATGCCAATTTAGAACAATCACTGAAATGGTAGTATGTTGTGAGATTGTGCAAAGCTTGCAGATTCAAGAATGAATGTTAAGTGAAGTCTTGGCATATTGTATTCCCAGTCCAGACCATGACAAACTTCCTCCACACAAAGCCATTCCAGGAACAATTTAGTGAGTTTTATATATTCCTAATGGGTGGATACATTCATTTTTAAACATAGCAATAACAAACATTTACCTTAGAAGTGCAGTTATACAGTGCAAAGAATCAGATATTAAAGCCTATATGGATTAAGCACATGTAATATTTGAAAAACAGTGTGCAAAGTGTATATTAGGTTTTAATTAATTAGGTTGCTCACCGAGATTGGCACATCTTCTGTTCTTCTCTTGGCATTGGAATCAAATAAAACATTTCGCCCTCTTCTTTCACAGTCTTGGTACACAATTAGTCGTATCTGACTTGGATTAAACTCCGGCAAAGGCCAGCTTTAAAAAGACAGGAAGGGAAAAAAGTATTTCACATTAGTGATGGCTTCATTAAGTACATTAACTGAATGTCTTTAGATATACTATCAAGAAGGGATGATGGTGATAGTGACAATCACAACAATGAATCACCAAAAAAGAATATATCTTGTTGAATATTGGTGTAAATGGATCAAATTCCATCGTTAACTTTAAATGTTGTTTAAACATTTCTAACAATAATGTGGCAACACTCTTGTTAATACACAGTGCAAAATACTATTGTAATATATGCATTAAAAGCAGAATTGTTATTAATAGAAAGAACTATGGAGATGGAAAGCTTCAAAAAGGTTTCTGATTGGATCTTTTTCCCTGCATCTTTTATAATAAATACTTTCCCATGAAGATGTTTTATGATCATAGAATTCCCACAGCTAACCCATTTGTTTCATAATGATCAAGAGTGAACAGTACACCTCACCGAGATACCCCTTGTAGATCCCATTTGAGAAAACACAGAGACAAAAAATGGAGGCTAAAAATTGCCAACATAATTCCTGAAGTACTTTAGAGGCAGGGTTCTCTGCCATTCCAAAGAGGAAGCACAACAGAATTGTACTGTAGCCTGAATAACAGAAAAAAAATGAAACATAGAAACGAAAGACAAGAACCAATTTAATTTTTTTTAAAAAAGAAACAACAAAACTTAATCTCACGAATGAAGGTGAACATACGTGTCCCAGGATAATGTTGCAGGAGCCAATCTGGGTCAGTCACCGGGACAATGAGGTTTAGTCATCTTGAGTTTTCGGATGTGCGTTGGAGCCCATCCTTAGGGAACCTCCCTCTAGGCTCCGGTAGTTGATCCAGATTGGATCCTGCAAAACCCAACCTGTCTGCTTTGCACGTTGTTTCACCCAATTAAGAATTCAATACACACAATACTGTATCACCTTGCATTCATTGGTTGGCTATCAAAGGGTGTCCCATTCCACTCTAAGCCAAGGCTAAAGCCATTAAAAGAAATAATAGGAAATTCCTACCAGAGCCCAAGGAATGACCACTCCCGATTTCCTAGCTCTAACCATAATGACAGAGCCAAAGGTATCATGTAAATAGTGGAATACCATGCATGATAATAATGGAATCACAGAATGAAAGTTTGGAAAAAATCTTGAAGATCATTTAATTCAGCCCTTGCATGAATTCACTCCTATAGCATCCCTGAGAGATATTCATCTAGTCTGTTTAAATTCCTCCAGTGAAGGTGAGTCTTCTGCTTTCCAAGGCAGTCTGTTCCATTTTAAACAGATCTTATTGTTAGGATATGTTTCCTGTTGCCTAACCAAAATCTACTTTAACTTAACACCATTAATTCTAGTTCTAACTTCTAGAACAGTGTTTCTCAACCTTGACAATTTTAAGGCATGTGAACTTCAACTCCCAGAATTCCACAGCCAGCAATGCTGGCTGTGGAATTCTGGGAGTTGAAGTCCACATTCCTTAAAATTATCAAGGTTGAGAAACACTGTTCTAGAATGATTCTGAACAACTCTGCCCTATGTTCTCCCTGTCAATCCTTCAGTTATTTGAAGACATGTCATGTCTCTTTCCAATTTTCTCTTGTTCTGGTTCAGAATATTCAATGCTTCTAACCAATCCTGGCAAGCTTTTTCTTCTTGTTTTTCCTTCCTGACTCCTAATCATCTTGGACGGTCTCTGGACACACTGCAGTTTGTCACTGCCTTTCCTATGTTCTAGGTGTGGCCTGATTAGTGCAGAACGAGAGAAATGATTATTTGTCTTGATCTTTCTTTACTTTCTTTACCTCTAATTTCCTCTAGTTCCTTGTTCTCTTACTCCATGTGCAACTGTGCAATTGTATTTTCTCCTTCTCAGTTCATCTGCCTTCTAGGTTTGCATTAAATGGTTATAGTGCCATAAGTGAACATTTTCTGGTGTGGTATGGAATAGAATCTAATCCAATCATAGCAGCTTTAGTTTAGAAATAAGCAGTATGTTTAATATTTCAGAAATCATGTTAGGGAAACAGGAAACTACTTAACAAGGAATGACATGGTGCTGCTATTTATTTTTAAAAAGAAAAGAGAAATAAGGAGAGGCAAAAATGGTTATTGGGTCATAAGACAAAAAAAAAACTTGTTAGAAAATGAAAGGTTTAGATAAAATCAAAAGGACAAATACAGTTTTATGAAACACTGGTTCAAAGTCACCCAGCTAGATTACATACCTATGGCAGAGCTAAACAGTCTCCAGGTTTCTAGCCTGGTGACTTAGCCACCGAAACAAACATCAAAATATTATTAAGCTAAGAATGACTTTTGAATTCCTTCCATTCTTTCTAATCCAATGGAAATTACTTAGGGAGACTGAACCTCTGCCTATCTATGTATCCATTTATAAAGAAAAAAATTTCCCAAATCTGTTATAGCAGAATCAGATTTGGCTTAGGGGGAGAAGCTGGCCAAAGAAAAATCTAATTCAAAAATAGACTGTATCTGGGAATAGAAGGGGGAAAAAAACCACTATGTCTCCCAGAATGTATCTCCACAGGAGAAGCAATTGGGCAACATCTTATGTTAGTAACATATCATAAATGTTAGTCACTTTCCCATTCTGAGCTCCCCTCCCCCCTCCTGAACTAAAGTACACCATATGGAGTCCGTCCTGTTCTTTCCAGAACACACATACACATCAACAAATGCAGACATGAAGAAATCCCAGAAACCTCTTATTCTGATGCAACCTGCACAAACAGAGGTGCTTCCTATGGCCCGTGCCAGTAATGAGGTTGGAACGAATTCCAGAAGCAATGTTCCTCAAGCTTTCCCTCCCTTTTCGTTTATATCATTTGTTTTAGGAAGCCACCTCTGATGCTCTTCTACCCACTCTAGACTAGAATATAGACTCAATAGACTGGCATTTGGACACTGACTTAACAGCCATTCAACAAAAAGACAGAAAGGTCTCTAAACCTCTTCAAGGGTGAAGGAGCTAAACAGAGAATTCTGCTGCATTTATCAGCATATGTTATTCAGTTACAGTGAACTGGGTTACTTCTCCAGCTGTGTTACTGATATTTTAATAACTACCTTTGGGCTGGAATAAAATTATTCCAGCAAACTATTATCAGTGTTACATAACATGACTCTCCTTTTGTCTAAAACATTCTTTGGCAACTGCAGCACTATCCCAGGAATCCAAAGAAAGTGAGGTGGCAAATCCAGAGGAAGAGATTCAGAAAGACCGGCAAGGATACAAAAAGAGCCAGACAAGGGGATTTTAGTTATTTAACAAATAGAATTGGGCTTTGGATTCCTTGCCCCCATTGTCTATCGGAAGAGCATATCAGAGATGAAGGAAGATAAGAAACAGGAGGGAAACTGAGTAACAAATGTTACGGCCATATTGGATTAACCTAAATTATGTTCATCTTATGGGCGCCTTCTTCAGCCTGGTCCCTCCAGACACCTTAAACAGAACTCTTTGCTAGCATATCAGTTGGCCAACAGAGCCATTGGTTACCAATTGTGAATACTGAATTTTGGATCATATGGCAAGTACCAGATAAGTAAGAGCAACTCTGAACTATGTACCTTAAATAATTTTGTTACACAAGGTTTATACCTGAGACTCAGGGGCTGCCACAAAGAAGAGGGAGTCAAGCTATTCTCCAAAGCGCTGGAAGGCAGGATGAGAAGCAACGGATGGAAACTAATCAAGGAGAGAAGCAACCTAGAACTAAGGAGAAACTTCCTGACAGTTAGAACAATTAACCAGTGGAACAACCTGCCTCCAGAAGCGGTGAATGCTCCAACGCTGGAAGTTTTTAAGAAGAGAATGGACAGCCATTTGTCCAAAATGGTATAGGGTTACCTGCCTGAGCAGGAGGTTGGGCTTGATGACCTCCAAGGTCCCTTCCAACTTTATTATTATTATTATTATTATTATTATTATTATTATTATTATTATTATTATTATTATTATTATTATTATCGATCATCGCACAGTCAGCCAGATATTCAGACTGGATTTGGCATTTTGTCTACCTATCGAGTCCTTACCCAGGACATGGGATAGGCAGATGTGGATGTTTGATGGTATTACAGATATCGTTGCAGGATGGAAGCAGTTCCTAATAAGGCCGCCTTTTGCAATTGACTAATGGCGAATTTGTCAATGCCAATGGTGTTCAAGTGGTGCTCCAGTTGTTTTGGGATTGCACCCAAGGAGCCTATTACTATTGGTACTACCCTTGCTTGCTTTTGCCACAGTCTTTCTATTTCTATTTGTAGGTCTTTGTATTTTGTTATCTTCTCCAGTTCTTTCTCTTCTATTCTGCTATCTCCAGGCACTGCCACGTCCACTATCCAGACTTTTTTGTCTTTCTTATCGACAATTGTTAAGTCTGGGGTGTTATGTTGCAGGTGCTTGTCTGTTTGAATTCTGAAGTCCCAGAGCAGTTTAATTTTATCATTTTCTATGACTTTCTCTATTTTATGATCCCACCAGTTTTTGCTTACAGGCAAATGATATTTTTTGCAGATCTTCCAATGCACCATTGTTGCTACTTTGTCATGCCGCTGCTTGTAATCAGTTTGTGCAATCTTCTTGCAACAGCTTACCAAGTGGTCCACTGTTTCTTCAGCTTCTTTGCATAGGCGGCACTTACTGTCTGTTGCTGTCTTCTCAATTTTGACTTTATATGCATTTGTCCTTAAGGCTTGGTCTTGTGCAGCCAGAATTAGTCCCTCGGTCTCTTTCTTCAATTTTCCTGCTCTTAGCCATTGCAGGTCTTGTTAATATCTGCTTTCCCAGCTATTTTTTTTAATGTATTGGCCATGTAGTGCTTTGTCTTCCCATGCCTCTATTCTGTTCTTCATTTGGTCTTTCTTGTAGGCCAGTTTGGTCTCTCCAGTAGTCAGTAAGCCTTCCTGATATACTAATTTCAGTGCATCTTCATCATTGTTCTTCAGATATTCTTCCAAAGCCATTTT